TGTATGGCAGGAGTTGGGGGCCACGGGACCAGTCTGGGGGCTCGGGGTCACCCCAGGGTCCCCGGCAGCGCGTTCCGATCCCTGGGAACTCAAGGTCACCCCAGGGCTCCTGGTGGGGGTGAGGGTCCCCGGGGGGCTGGCCCAGGACAGGCTCTCAGCTCTTGGGGGGGCCGTGGTGGCCTCCGCCGCTGTGACAAAGGAGTCCTGGTCCCCATCACCGTTCTGGCTTGTGTCCTCCCATCTCAAGTGTCCCCACGTGTTCCCTGGAACCACGAGGAAACCCAATATCCCTGCAGAGCCGCGGCAGCACAGGCTGGCACCATCAACGCCCTCGCCTTCTCCTGGTGGCACTGGCAGCCTGTCCCAGGACACTGGGACCCCATCCTGGGTCCTGTAGGGCACCGGGACCCTGCCCTGGCTCATGTGGGGCACTGCATCCCCACTGCCATGTCCCCGTGTGTGTCCTTGTGTCCCCACAGGGTCCCCACAGTGGCACTGAATGTCCACATGGGGTCCCCGCAGTGGCAGTGAGCGCCCTGTCTCCGTGTCCCACGTGTGCCCCGTGTCCTCGCAGATCTTCACACGCCTGGGGAAATGCTACACGTTCAACCCGGGGGGGCCAGGCCGCGAGGTGCTGACCACGCTGCAGGGCGGCTCCGGCAACGGGCTGGAGCTCATGCTCAACGTGCAGCAGGAGGAGTACCTGCCCGTCTGGGGGGACACAGGTGAGACCCTGCCCGTCTGGGGGGACAGGGTGAGAGCACTGGGTCCCAGCTCAGTACTTGTCCTTTTGGGGGGACACAGGTGAGCACGTGTCCATCCGGGGGGACATGGGTGAGATCCCCTGCCCTGCCCCTGACCCCCCTCCCCTGCTCTGCAGATGAGACCTCGTTTGAGGTGGGGGTGAAGGTGCAGATCCACAGCCAGGACGAGCCGCCCTTCATTGACCAGCTGGGCTTCGGCGTTGCCCCTGGCTTCCAGACCTTCGTGTCCTGCCAGCAGCAGCGGGTATCCGGGCACGGCGCCCGGGGCTGGGCACCGACCCCCGAGGGATCGGGATGGGCCCCGCAGGGATCGGGATGGACCCTCCCAGGGCTCGGGATGGTGACCCGAAGGGATGGGTCAGAACGGACCCCAGGGCCGCGGGTACCCCAGCCATGTCCAGGGGGACACCCCCTCGCCGTGCCGTGGGTACCGTGCCAGGGCACGGCACACGCCGTGGGGCAGCCCCACGCCAGGCCCGGGCGGGCAGGGCTCCGCAGCGACCCCCGGCTCCGCGGAACAGCCGCCGGGGGGTGGCGGCTCCCGGCCCCCGCAGCCAGACACCTAAATTTAGGTGCCTCGGGTGGGCGTCACCACGTGTGCCGGCACATGGGCGGCAGGAGCACGGCGGCAGCAGGAATGGCCCCGGCACCCACGGGCGGGGGGTGCTGGGCCTTCACCAGACACGGTGCCCGCACCGAGGGGAGGGCGGGGGTCCGCACTGACGCCCCCCGCCCCCCGGCACGTCCTGCTCCAGCCGGTGCCACCTGCCAGCCTTCGCGGTGGCAGCGGTACAGGTGACAACTGCTGCAGCACCCGTCGCCGTGTCCCGGAAGGAGGGGACGGGGCGGGACGGGGGCTGTGGGCGGCAGGACCCGCAGCACTGGGGCGCGGGGTGAGCTCTGCCCCACGCACGGCGCGGGTGGGAGGCGCGGGTACGACACCGGGGACATCGGGGCCGACACGGGGCCCCAGGACGCCGTGTTTTCCTTAGCGGGTGCCCGGCAGCTGGTGTACCTGCCCCCGCCGTGGGGGGACTGCAAGGCCACCCCCATCGAGTCCGACTTCTTCACCAACTACAGCCTGACTGCGTGCCGCCTGGACTGCGAGACGCGCTACCTGGCCGAGAACTGCAACTGCCGCATGGTGCACATGCCGGGTGAGCGGGGGGCGGCCGGGGGCCGGGGGCTGCGCCGCCGAGGCACCAACCCCGCCCTGCGGCCGCCCCCTCCCCGCAGGCAATGCCAACGTCTGCACGCCGGAGCAGTACAAGGAGTGCGCCGACCCCGCGCTGGGTACGTACCCCGCGCCCCCCGACCGCCCCGGGCACCCCTGAGCCCCCCCGTGCCCCCATTTCTGTGAGTGCAGACCCGGTGTCCCTGTGCCCCCACCACTGAGAGTGGCCCTGGTGTCCCTGTGTCCCCACCACTGAGAGTGTGGCCCTGGTGTCCCTATGTCCCCACCACTGAGAATGGCCCTGGTGTCCCTGCGCCCCCCCCACTGACAGTGTGGTCCTGGTGTCCCTGTGTCCCCACCACTGACAGAGTGGCCCTGGTGTCACTGTGTCCCCACCACTGACAGTGTGGTCCTGGTGTCCCTGTGTCCCCGCCACTGAGAGTGGCCCTGGTGTCCCTGTGCTGGGGTGGGGGTCACCGCTGTCCCCAGATGCGCAGGGCCGGGCCCCCCTCCCTGTGCCACCGACAGCGCCCGCGGCACACGTGTCCCGGGTGGCACCACCAGCACCCAGCTCTGTCCCCCGAGCACCCCGCCGCCCCCCGCGGGCAGGGGTCCCGGGGGGCCCCGTCCCACCCCCGCCCCCCCAGACTTCCTGGTGACGAAGGACAGTGAGTACTGCGCGTGCCGCACGCCCTGCGCCATGGTGCGCTACGGCAAGGAGCTCTCCATGGTGAAGATCCCCAGCAAGGCCTCGGCCAAGTACCTGGCCAAGAAGTTCAACAAGACGGAGCAGTACATTGCGTGAGTGCCACCGCCACCTCCGCCGCTGCCACCGCGCTGTCACCCGCCGCCTCGCCAGCGCACGGCGTGACACAGCCCCACGGCCCAGCACGACAGCTGGCATCAGAGGGCACGGTGTGACAGCGCGACGTGGCACAGCGCGGCCCCGTGACACGAACAGTGCGACACAACGGCCCCAGCATCGTGTCACACACCCAGAGTGACAGCGTGACAGGGCGCCCACCCGGCATCCCCCAGCAGACATGAACTGGGACAGCATGGCAGTGTGACACAGCAGCACGGCACAGCCATCCCCACCACACACAGCCCAAAATGACGCTGTGACACGGCATGGCGTGACATGTCACACATGTGGTGTGACAGCATGGCACGGCACAGCATGGCACGGCATGGCCTCCCCTGTGCAAACCTGCCCCAGAAACGGGAAAGGCACAGAGCACGGCACGGCTCAGCATGGCCTGGCACAGCACAGCCCAGCACCCCTCTGCCCTGGCCCACGGTACCCCATGGCACAGTCCAGCCCCCCTGCAGCTGACACTGCCCCCTCGCCCCCTGTGTCCCCCAGGGACAATGTGCTGGTCCTGGACATCTTCTTCGAGGCGCTGAACTACGAGATGATCGAGCAGAAGAAGGCGTACGAGGTGGCGGGGCTGCTGGGTGAGGGACGGGGCCCGGGGCGCTGGGGGACACGGGGTCTGCCCTCACTGACGTCACCTCCCGCACAGGTGACATCGGGGGGCAGATGGGGCTCTTCATCGGTGCCAGCCTCCTCACCATCCTGGAGATCTTTGATTACCTGTACGAGGTGAGCCCACCCCGGCCTCCCCCTGCCCGGGGCTCTCCGGGCCGGGGTCTCTGACCTGCCCCCCGCAGGTGTTCCGGGACAAACTCCTCAGCCTGTACAAGGAGAAGAAGCGGAGCCCCCGGAGCGACGGCGGCACCCTGGTAACCCCCCCGCGCCCCCCACTCCCCAGTCCCCCGCCCAGGGGTCGCACCTCATCACCCCCCCGCTCACCGCTCTCTCGTCCCTCCGTGCGCCCGTCCAGGAGCACCCGGCGGTCCCGGGCAGCCCCCCGGCCCCGCGCCCACCCAGGTACATGCGGGGGGGGGCAACCAGAGCCCCCCGGGGCTGGCACGGGTGGCGTGGGGCTGTCACTCCCCGGGGGGAGACGGGGGTCCGCGGGGGGCTCCCCAGGGCCAGCACGGGGGTGTGGGGCCACTCGCGGCGGATCTCCCGCATTCTCTGCAGACCCCCCCCCATTCCCTGCAGACATCCCCCATCCTCATCATCCCCCACAGCGCCTTGTTCCGGGGTACGCCTGCCCCGACACCCCTCAGCCGGGCTGGGGTCCCCCAGCCTGCCCTCCGGGACGCAGCGGGGCGAGGGGGGGGTCCGCGTGGGGACATGGCAGGGGCCAGCCCGGCTCCAGGTCGGCCGCGAGGTGTCCCTGCCCAAGCGCTGGGGGCACAAGGGGAGGGGGCAGCGGCAGAGCCCCCCGCAGGCAGGGCGCAGGGGCCCAGCATGGCAGCGGGAGCTGACCCCCCTACCCCTCTGCAGGGCGCCTGGCCCCCCCTGCCCGGCCCCCCGCCCCGTCTCGGCGTCGCCCCGAACCTGCTACCTCGTCACCCGGCTCTAGGGCCCCCCCCGGGCCCCCC